TATCCTTTCAGACATTGCAGAAGAAGCCTCTAAGCTTCCCAGCACTAGTGATGATTGCCCACCCATTGGTACCCCTGTTCGAGATTCTTCAAGCTCTGGGCATTCTCAGAGTGCCCTCTTTGACCCTGATGTCTTTCAAACCAATAATAATGAAAATCCATACACAGATCCAGCTGACCTAATTGCAGATGCTGCTGGAAGCCCTAGTAGTGACTCTCCTACCAATCATTTTTTTCCTGATGGAGTAGATTTTAATCCTGATTTGTTGAACAGCCAGAGCCAAGGTGGTTTTGGAGAAGAATATTTTGATGAAAGCAGCCAAAGTGGAGATAATGATGACTTCAAAGGATTTGCATCTCAGGCGCTAAATACTCTGGGGGTGCCAATGCTTGGAGGTGATAATGGGGAGACTAAGTTTAAAGGCAATAGCCAAGCTGACACAGTTGATTTCAGTATTATATCAGTGGCTGGTAAGGCTTTGGGTCCTGCAGATCTTATGGAGCATCATAGTGGTAGCCAGAGTCCTTTACTGACTACTGGGGACTTAGGGAAAGAAAAGACTCAAAAGCGAGTAAAGGAGGGCAATGGCACCAGTAATAGTAGTCTGTCAGGGCCAGGATTAGATAGCAAACCAGGGAAGCGCAGTCGGACCCCTTCTAATGATGGCAAAAGCAAAGATAAACCTCCAAAGCGGAAGAAGGCGGACACTGAAGGAAAGTCTCCATCTCACAGTTCTTCTAACCGACCTTTCACCCCACCTACCAGTACGGGTGGATCCAAATCTCCAGGCAGTTCAGGAAGATCGCAGACTCCCCCAGGTGTTGCCACACCACCTATTCCCAAAATCACTATTCAGATTCCTAAAGGCACCGTGATGGTGGGCAAGCCCTCCCACAGTCAGTATACCAGCAGTGGCTCTGTGTCTTCCTCAGGCAGTAAAAGCCACCATAGCCATTCTTCTTCCTCCTCTTCCTCCTCTTCGGCTTCCAACTCAGGCAAGATGAAAAGCAGTAAATCAGAAGGTTCCTCAAGTTCCAAGTTAAGCAGCAGTGTATATTCTAGCCAAGGGTCTTCTGGATCTAGCCAGTCCAAAAATTCATCCCAGTCTGGGGGGAAGCCAGGCTCCTCTCCCATTACCAAGCATGGACTAAGCAGTGGCTCCAGCAGCACTAAGATGAAACCTCAAGGGAAGCCATCATCACTTATGAATCCTTCTTTAAGTAAACCAAACATATCCCCTTCTCATTCAAGGCCACCTGCAGGCTCTGATAAGCTTGCCTCTCCAATGAAGGCTGTTCCTGGGACTCCCCCATCCTCTAAAGCCAAGTCCCCCATCAGTTCAGGTTCTGGTGGTTCTCATATGTCTGGAACTAGTTCAAGCACTGGCATGAAGTCATCTTCAGGGTTAGGATCTTCAGGCTCATTGTCTCAGAAAACTCCCCCATCATCTAATTCTTGTACAGCATCTTCCTCTTCCTTTTCCTCAAGTGGCTCTTCCATGTCTTCCTCTCAGAACCAGCATGGGAGTTCCAAAGGGAAATCTCCCAGCAGAAATAAGAAGCCATCCTTAACAGCTGTCATAGATAAACTGAAGCATGGGGTCGTCACCAGTGGCCCTGGAGGTGAGGACCCAATGGATGGCCAGATGGGGGTGAGCACAAATTCTTCTAGCCATCCTATGTCCTCCAAACATAACATGTCAGGAGGAGAGTTCCAGGGTAAGCGTGAGAAAAGTGATAAAGAAAAATCCAAGGTTTCCACCTCGGGGGGTTCAGTGGATTCGTCTAAGAAGACCTCAGAGTCAAAAAATGTGGGGAGCACAGGTGTGGCAAAAATTATCATCAGCAAGCATGATGGGGGTTCTCCCAGCATTAAAGCCAAAGTGACTTTGCAGAAACCTGGGGAAAGTAGTGGAGAAGGGCTCAGGCCTCAGATGGCCTCTTCCAAAAACTATGGCTCTCCACTCATCAGTGGTTCCACTCCAAAACATGAGCGTGGCTCTCCTAGCCATAGTAAGTCACCAGCATATACCCCCCAGAATCTGGACAGTGAAAGTGAATCAGGCTCCTCCATAGCAGAAAAATCTTATCAGAACAGTCCCAGCTCAGATGATGGTATCCGACCTCTTCCAGAATATAGCACAGAAAAGCATAAGAAGCACAAAAAAGAAAAGAAGAAAGTAAAAGACAAAGATCGGGACCGGGACCGGGACAAAGACCGGGACAAGAAAAAATCTCATAGCATCAAGCCAGAGAGTTGGTCTAAATCACCCATCTCTTCAGACCAGTCCTTATCTTTGACAAGCAACACAATTTTATCTACAGACAGGCCCTCAAGGCTCAGCCCTGACTTTATGATTGGGGAGGAAGATGACGATCTTATGGATGTGGCCCTGATTGGCAATTAGGAACCTTACTTTTTAAGACAAAAGTGGCCAGAGAAAAACTAATAAGTTTATAGGCAAACCACCATAAGGGGTGAGTCAGACAGGTCTGATTTTGTGTTCAAGAATCTTAAATGGCATGGCTTTGACACCGAGCTGGGTGAATTTAGAAAGGCATAGCCAGACCCTACTAAAGAGACCATAGGGTTTGATTCTGGTTACCAAGAATCACTTTTTCCTTTCCCAGAGAAAAAAAGAGAAAAAAAAAAAAAGTTAAAATACTTGCTTATGAAGGGAGGGGGTGGGTGGGGCATAGGGAGAGGGAAGGGTGGGAAACAGTTTTGTGGGAAATATTCATATATATTTTTTTCTCCCTTTTTCCATTTTTAGGCCATGTTTTAACTCATTTTAGTGCATGTATTTGAAGGGCTGGGCAGCAAATGAAAAAGCAATACATTCCTTGATGCATTTGCATGAAGGTTGTTCACTTTGTTTGGATAGTTGCCCATTTGAGGCATGGACAAATGAAGGACTTTGGTCATTTTGGACACTTAAGTAATGTTTGGTGTCTGTTTCTTAGGAGTGATTGGGGGAGGGAAGATAATTTTAGCTATTTATTTGTAATATTTTAACCCTTTATCTGTTTGTCTTTACACAGTGTTTCTAATTCTATAAGGTTCAGGGTTCAAAGTGATGGGAGGTGGAAGAGCAAGGCTTATTTGGTGGTAGGGAGCCTGTAGCTTGTGCTGGTACTGTAGCATTAAGCCCAAGCAGATTAGTCAGAGTCCACCTTTGGAGTTAAGTAGAAAAACCAAAATGGTATTTTTGTTTTAGGAGGTTTATCATAGGGTTCAGACATCATAGGAATATTAGGAGTTACCTCCCTATGGAGGTACTGATTTATAGTCTCTTTGTCCTTTAATAAAGGCTGGGCTGGCTTTTTGGGATGTAAACATGTTTTCAGATGCAGTAAGTTTTAATGTACAGCCTCCCTGACCCAGTGGCATGAAAACCATTACAGAATTAATAGTTCTCCTATTTCCACAATGTGCCAAAAGTCCACATCCCAGCATTTTGTTTGTAGGAGAACTGATGCCATTCCTGAGAGCTGGGCTCCTTGTTTCTCTGCATCACATGGAGAAGGAGTCCAGACTTCAGTCGCTCCACTGTATGCTCCCTTAGATAAAACAGTAAAAAATTTGCAGCCATAGTTCACTTAAAACAATTTCAAGCTCACTTGAAGTAATGGGGGCCTGGAATGCTAGGTGGGCATGAAGATAAACCCTTGCTACTATGTAGCAACCCAGTTGGACCTTTTTGGAGGAATAGGTCTGAGTCTGGATTCTGGGGGACATCAATAAGAAGCCCTTCTCATGAATATAGAAATCCAGGAGACCATTTGAGTGCAACACAAGTTCTCAGTATTTGGAGGGTCCTCTCAAAATTCTGCGGCCTTACTTTGATTTTGACACCTGCACTGTGCCATTCCTGATGATTCCATTCAGGATCTGTATCAGCAGGACGGGGCACAGTCCCCAGCACAACTCTTCTGGATTAAAAAAAAAAAAAAAGCCAGGTGATTCATTTGTGTGTGTGTGTGATAAATGGAAGTGACTTCATCAGATATTGAAGAAGATTTCTATATTCAGCTCTTTCTGCAGGTTGGAGTTAGCATAGAGTTGGAAAATCAGCTTTGGCGTTCTTTCCTGACTGTCTCTGATTTCCTCTAGTGTTCTCCCTTTTCTGGTCATCAGCTCTCAACAACTCTGCCACTTTTGTGTCCCAAGGTAATAAGAAGTAGGAAACGAAACATTGCAAAGTGGAGCAAGAAAAGTTATCGGTTACCGTATCAGAGTCAAATGTCTTGGGTGACACTAAGGAGGACATGGGCAAGGTGATACCAGAGTGCTTTATCTTGTGATGCTGATACAGTAGCAGCCTCTCAGACATATAACCAGGTTGGATTTCTCACAAGTTTCTCACCTAGTTTTGAATCCTATCCCATTGGTTTCTGCAGAGAAAAAAAAAATGTTACGTGGTTTTTAAGTTTGTTCTGGGTGGGGAACATCTTATGGGGAATGTACTACATATCAGGGGCTCAGCTTCCCCAAGCAGAGCCAACAGATTCCAAAATGAGTAAACTGGGAAGCTTTTTCTCTCTTTCTGTCTTCATCCCAGATCAAAGAATCCCGAGTTAGGATCTGGATGAAGGATAAGCCCCTGAATTGTCGATGGGCACACCCCACACACTGACCCAGCATCTGAACTTGCTTAACAGGGAGCCGGGGCTAACCTGCTTCACCCTGCCTGAGAACCAGGGAGCACTGCATTTCTCCACAGGGTGGAGGAGAAGAGGCAGAATAAACCAAGCCTGGGACACCTCCCTCCTGTCTAGGTGTACTCATTCTTCTGTTTCAAAAGACTGCAAGGACATGAAGTCAACTTCTACCTGTCTTCTGCTGCTGGTGTCTTATGTATTCTTAGTTTGACCTGATTCCTCTTCTGTCTTTTGGCTTCATGTTAGGGGTTCTTGGTCAAAACCTGCTCTGATGTACATGAAGATTTCGGGTTCAAAATCCATGTGTTTTAAAACAGGTATTTTATAAACGGGGGAGAAATGAAGCAGGATATAATTGCCAAAACTGGCCTTCAGGTTAGTGACTCTCGGAAAGATTTTCCTTAAGGCCTAGGTCTGAAAATGTAGTGCAACAATAGCATGAATTCTCAGAAGCAACCCTTTCAAGGGAGCCAGTGAGTCATACAGTATCCAGTCAAGTCACTTAAAGCAGATGACAGTATAGGAAGCTTTCACAATCCCTGGGCAATCTCATTTTCTCCCCCCCTCCCTTTTTTCCCTTTTCAATCCCTCTACCCCCTTATTTCTACCCATGAGTTAGTTTTCTGAGGGGTAGGAAGTACCTAACATCTCGGAAGCTAGGTTGGGAAACATGCTCAGCTGTAAAAGCTGAGCTTTATTAATTTTGTGTTTTAGAAATGTACATCAGGAGCAGTTGGGGAGGGTCTTTTCTAAAAAAATCTTTCAAATTTGATTTTCTGTGCGTATGGCCGTTCTGTAAATACTTTGGGGTTTTTCATTTTTTTGAAAGTAGACAAAATCTGGGATTTTTCCCCCCGAAACATTACAAAAGAACCTGTTTATTTACATGCAAATAAATTTCTTTGATAAAAAGTATTATGCCTTTGTGTAGTAAATTTTTAACCTTTGAGTAATTTTCACTTATTCAGCTTTTTTAAAAAAAGATTTTCTTTTTAGAGAGGGGGTGGGGGGAGGGGCAGAGAGAGAGGGACAAGCAGACTCCCTGCTGAGCGGGACCTGCAGGGGTGGCTCAACCCTGAGATCATGACCTGGGCCAATCAAGAATCAGCAAAATTAAGAGTCAGCAGTGCAACCAACTGGGCCACCCAGAGAACCCCTATTCAGCTTTTTAAAAGTCCACCAATCAGAAAAAATCAGGAAATAAAAGTCTTCCCTGAGTATTACTCAAAATAGGTTAACCGTAAAGGATAACTGAAACCTGGTAAAAGACCTGTGAAAGTTTGCTTCATTTGATTTATCTGCTTGAGCCAGTTTTACTATCTTTTGCAGGTCTTAGTCACCAAATTCATCAATAGTTGGGAGAAAACTGCTCTTAGATCAGATACGACTAAAAAGCTGTGTTTATATGGCTGAAGTGAAATAACATTAGAAGTAGCAGACAGAATATAACATCTAGACCTGGGTTTGTGGGTCTGAGAATGAGTTTCTGAAGCTAGGTTCCTTGCTTAAGAAGCCCTTTCTAGGACAAACACGAGAAAGTTTAAGAAAAAAAAGTGCTTGAAGAGTTGGGTAATAAAGCTTCCAGCTTAAATATGCCTATTTTATTTTTATAATTTTTACTGTTTTGTTTTGTTTTTTTTAAAGAGCAGGGGTTGGGCTGGCGGGAGGGGAGGGCCAGAGGGAGAGACTCTCAAGCAGGCTCCACGCCCAGCTGGGAGCCCAAGCACGGGCTGGATCTCACACCTTGAGATCATGACCTGAGGGGAAAGAGTTGGATGCTTAACCGAATGAGACACCCAGGCACCCCAGAATATGCCTATTAAAAAAAAAAATCTCCAGCACAAGTTGCTCTTAAGTAAGCTCCTCTCTCTTTTATAAATGTTTTAAGTAATCTCTACACCCAACGGGGCTTGAACCTACAACCCCGATATCAAGAGTGGTAGGCTCCACCAACTCAGCCAGCCAGGTACCCCAGTAATCTCTCTTAAATCAGATTCGTAACAAGCCAGTCACTAAAACTAATTAAAGGAGGTATGAAGACAAACATACTTACTTTGGAATACGATTAGGGGCAGTGATCCTGCCAGGACTGCTGGAATTTATGATACAGTTTCTAATATTTCATCTTGGGTACACGATTCTGTAGTTTGTCGCTCTAAAAGAGGGTAAACTTATTCCTTAGTCCATGGAAATTCGATAATAAATTTCAAGACCTTGAGGGCTGGTGTTGCTAAAGTATAATAATATAATGACACAAACTAGCTTCTATGGAAGGAGCCAAGGAGTCAGATGTATGTAATTTCCACTGAGCCAGCGCCCCCGCCTACTAGTTAAGACACGCTTGTTTCTCCCGCCAAAGTGGCGTCAGGATCAGGTTTTCACCAAGCAAAGCCCTGATTGGAGGACGGGCAGGCACTAGAGCCCATTGGGCGCCAGCAGCAGTCTGGTGGCGGAGGGGCGGGGGAAGCCAAAGGCACTTCAGCCTCGCACGGCCCCCCCCCCACCACCAAAGCGCGCCCCTCCCCCAGCTAAAAGGAATGGTCGCCCAGCTCCGGCGCTGCACCCCCTGACCCCAAGGCGCGAGGTGCGGCCTTGCTGCATATTCCTGGAGCAGAGGGTAGCGCAATTACCCCCTCCTCCCGTCCTCCTGATCCATGCACGGGGAGACCCACGCCCTGCCGCGGCCCCCCAGGCCTCCCTGCAACACCCGGTAATGCAATCCACGGGGGCGGGGGAGGCGGCGGCGGCGGCAGCGACAGCAACGACGGCGGCGGCGGCAGCAGCACTGCCTCAATCTAGAGACAACCAGAAAGAGGAGGAAAATGGCTCCGAGCAGGGACCGCCTGCTGCACTTTGGGTTCAAGGCGACAGTGAGTGATAGGGAAAGGAGTTGGGTGGCCGGGAAGGACATGTGTGGCTGCACAGGCTACCGGGGAAGAAGCGACAAGACTAGGGGGCTGGGAGGGCTTGACAGGAAGCTCAAGTGCTTGCTGGGTGGGTGCGTGCCGTTTGCCGGCGAAGGGGATTAGATGGGCTCCGGTACTGGGTGCAGTTGTCCTGCTTTCCTCACTCGCTAGTCCGCGAGCACGCGCGCACTCACACCCTCCCCACAGCCCCTCCCATACACAAATACACACAGACAGATAGGCACTTCCCTGCCTCTCCTCGCGGTGGGCTTGCGTGCCTCGGAGGCAAGAGCGGGCTCGCGCCGCCGCCGCCGCGCTCCGGCTGCTCCCGGGCGGACCGTCGCGGGCTGCGCCCGGGAGTGGGGGAGGGGTGGTCCCGCGCCGCCGCCGCAGCCGCCGCCGCCGCGCGCTCCTCCTCCTCCTCCCCTCCCCACGCCGTTCCGAGGCCCGGGCGGCTCTGCCCAATGAGGAGCGGCGTTGCTGGCAGGTGGGGAGTGTTTTTGTTTTGGGTTGAAGTTGAGGCTGAGGGGAGAGAAGAGCTAGCGACGAGCAGTCGTCGCTGCCGCCGGCTCTGCGGGAGGTGGAGGAGGCCCCGCCGGAGCCGAGAGGTTTCCCCTCCCCGCTGACGGCCCCTGCCCGCCGCTCCTCTACCTCCTCCCGGTCCCGGAACTCCGGGGCCTGCCCCGGGCCCCCAGTTTTTGCACTCCGCACGCTGCAGCGCCCGGCCCCGGCCGCACCCGCCGGCCCCATGAGGAGGGACGTGAACGGAGTGACCAAGAGCAGGTTTGAGGTGTGAGCCTGGGGGAGCTGGGGCGGCGTGAGCAAGGCGATTCCCGCTCTTATGCCCCGAAAATTTCGCTCGGCACGGAGCCTCCTCCCTTGCCTGGCGCCGTCACCCACCGACCGCTGGGGCTGCCAGACTTCTTTCCCCTTTCTCGCGACCTGAAAGCCCGGTGCAGCCCAGCTTCCCTAGTCCTCAGGGCTGGTCGCCTCCAGCCTGTTCCACCAGCGGGCCCGGGCAAGGGATTACTCTGGCGCCCTAATTCCCCCCTCCCCCCAGTATCACTCAGCTTTCCATTCTTTACACAATCCTTGGCTTCTCTCCCTCCACCCGGCAGAAAAAGCATCACAGCTCCGATCAACCGGAGCTGGCTTCTTTTCTTTCTGCCACCTTCTTCGTGAAGCGAGAGGGACATTATGGGCCAGGGGGCCATTTCTCTATGTTTGAGAGACCTTGATTAAACTAGGGAAGTGGAGGTGGTAGACTGGGACGATAGAGACGACCACGAGTTTTCGGTGCTGTTTGGTGTGGGTATTGTTCTGATACTTCCTCTTCTTTCCCGTTTAGTCTGTACTTTTGTAGTTCATTGTTTCTGGGAACTCTTAGATGTGTACGGTCGAGACTTCAGAAAATCCACTCTTTAACAACTTTTTCTCCTCTGGCGAAAAAGGTTTATAGCTAATGGAATTGAGGAATGGATGAGGAAACAGGAAAACACCTGAAAGCGTCTTCAGTGAGTAGTCACCGTGTTAAGGAAGTGATTCCTTTGGGAAGTGAAGTATTCTAACTACGGATGAATTGCAGTAGTGTGGTAATATACCCCAAGGTTTACTGAGGGGGTAAGACAGTGAGACAAAAGTTTCAGGAAACTTGTCCACTAGGTGCCCAGGGTGAAATTGTTACCTAAGGGTCTTTCTTCAGTTTAGTCTATTTCTTGGTTTCTTTTTATGCTATGGGGAAAATACTTTAATTTATCCACAAAGATCTAGGTAGCAAGTGTTGGGGAGAAGTTTAAATTCAGAGCTCTACGGTATTACTGTTGGAGGTGAGGAATGGAGAAAATCGAGAAATTGATCTCTTCAGAGTTTTCATATTTAACTTAATCATAGGAAGAAAATATAGTAGATATGATTGGGTGTTTAACAGAACTTTAGGTTGCCTTAAAGTAGAGAGATCCAATAAGCTTAATTTAGAATGGTTTCATATTTAGTACTACTGTACTGTAAAGTCCAGACCGTCATTAAAATTAGTGGACTTTTAGCAGTTAACAGGAATCTTGAAAGAGAAACCCAAATACTTAAGATCTGAGTAGGGGATAGCCTTTTGCCGTTGAAGTCTGCTCTTTATCATTTTGCTATTTTCTTGTAGATTGAGATACTGTTGGAAGGAGTTCTTTCGTAGTATGTGTTTTAAAATTGCATTGCTACATCCTGTTTTTGTAATTATCTTATATTTTAATTTGTAGTTTACCTGTAGTAGTGTATCATAATAAAGTTTATTGCCTTGTCAAGTATATTTATTTACCTTGAACTAAACCAGTTGAAGCTTTCTAAAGGTGTCTGATAAGATAAAGAATAAGAGGGGATTAAAAAACCCTCCTTCTACAGTATTCATGATTAGCTTTTGGTTTATAAATATTTTAGTCTTTTATGATAAGAAGGGGGTTCCATGCCAGAATGCAAATGGGAAAGTTTGGAAATGATATATGTTAATGAGTTTAATTATCTGAGTATTTCTTAAAGTCATTTACCTCTTTTTTTTTTTTTCCATTTACCTCTTTACTGACCTAATTTACAAGTAGTAAAACAATAAACTGTTAGGTCTCTTATGAAGTAGTAAACTTACTGCTAATTCATTGAAAACATTTTAAATATTTAGTTTCAGTGGATAAAACATGTAGACAAAATAAAGCAGTCTTTTCATGTCAAAAATATTTACATCAAGTTATTTTTTTAATTCTCAGAATTACAGAATGGTTTTAAAGGACTGATAATTTTATGATTGTAAGTAGATAGCAAATCCCTGAGAATTTTTGTGAGGGGAGGAAATTTTTGTAGCAAATAATAAGTCATGTCAAATTATGGTTAATACAGAAAGTGAAATAATTGTTTTCTTTTTCTTGGTCACATTTTTTTTCTGGGTGGAAGGTAACTAAAGTTTATTTTTTTATAGTTCATTCATTATAAGGAATATTATGTGCATTATGCTTTTGGATGTTGTAACTTCAGGCCACATACTTTAAATCTCATGCTCAGATCTGGAACTGTAGAAAAAAATTTAAAGTTAAAATAAAGGGAGTAGAGTACTTGTTAGCCAGATATGTAGCATCCTGTAGAATAGCCAAAGTAGATGATAGTTGGGTAAAAGAGTTAAAGAGATACAGAGATGGTGAAAATATTGTTCTTTGCTGTATCACTTTGACATTAACTTTCCACAAAAATAACCCTTATAAGCTAATATAATGAGTGCTGATTAATGTGTCTCTCAGTTGAAATTCTTCATCTAAGTACTTTTTATTACATTACTTACAGTATACATTGTTTTGTGGCAAATTTTGATAATTTCCTTGCAGACTTAATAATTGTTACTGAATCCTGCATGCCAGGCACTGAGCTAGATGTTTTACCTCAGTTACTTCTAATTCTCACAATTCTGTTTTACAGTTGAGGAAAGCTAAGGCTTAAGAAGTGCTCAAGTTGCACAGCTAGTAAGTGGGGGAGCCAAGATTCCAACCTGCTTTTTTTTTTTTTTTTTAACTTCACTCTGTCATTCTGCTCTGTTTTTAGCATAACATAGCATAAAAGCCCATAAAATGTGTGGGCAAGAACTTTCCTAAATTTCTTCATCCAGTATATTTTATTTTGTCTTTGCTATCAAGAATGAAGTTGTTCTTCATTTGAAGTACTATAATAGTGTGTTACCTTTTTAAAAAATTTTTAGAGGGGGTAGGGGCAGAGGGAGAGAGAGAAAATCTTAAGCAGGAGCAGGCTCCATGCCCAGTGTGGAGCTTCACTCAGGGCCCAATCTCACAACCCTGAGATCATGATCTGAGCTAGAATGAGGAGTTGGATGCTTAATCAACTGAGCCACCCAGGTGCCTCTATGTGTGTTATCTTAACACTCGGTGAGATTAGTGACAGACATGTATAAATAATCTAAGGTAGCCCTTGAATCTTTAGATTTTTTTTCAGTAAAGCCTCTCCATTTCATCATTCCCTTAGTAGCTCCATCATAAGATGATACTGGGGGGAAATTTCTATCTTATTTGGGTTCATTAAAAAGTCTAGCATTATCTATTGTGAAAACATTAACAGACATCACAGATAACTATTTACAGTTTAATCAGGACCTGGGAATGTTAAGATTCACATAGGAAATGATAAGTTCCAATTTGGATACTTTGAATCCCTGTTCATTATTTTCTCATTACATCTCACTGCTGCTTTGATAAATGTATAATATTACAGCCTGTAAGATTAAATTGTAATACTTATTTGCCTGCTTCATTTATTAAGTCAGTTTGTCCAAAATAAGAAAAATCATAAAATGTGGTATGGCAGAAAGAATATACTGCATTGGGAGTTGAAAGAACTGGATGTTAGTTAATCTTGATTTTTGCCACCAATTAACTATAACTTTGGTCATTTCTTTTTATTTCTCCAGGTTGGTCATTTCCCTCCTTTGCAAAACAAAGAAATTAGCATCAGTTGTTTCGGTTCCTTTTGTTCCAAAATCCTCTGAATCTGTCATTTTTTTTTTTGAATCTGTCATTTTTAAAATAAAAGCAGAGGACCACATTTCCTTGGCTGTTTCTTCTAAAACAGCAACTCCAATATTGTTAAAGTTTGTAGGCAGAGTTGCACAGTACTGCTAAGGCTGCAGTAATTACCTTTTTTCTCCTGTAAGGTTTTATCTTCTACATTCTGCATAGTAAATGACCATCTTTCCTAATTGGTACTCGTGGAAAATGTTATACATTTTTCCAGTGGGTGACAGCCATTTGTTTCATTCTATTTGAAAAGCCTTGCAATGGGAAAGAGAACTAGTAAAAGTAAGGGATTTTGTATTTAACACTTTAGAGATTAGTTTGAAAGCAGTTATCTAGTATTATACAAGGTCCAAATTAGAGGTTTAGGCTTTTTGGGCCCATTCAGACAATCTGTGTGTTTTTTAAATAGTGTTA